AAAAAAATGATTCTTGTAGAGCAAATAGCTGGCCAAAGCAGTAATCAAATTATGATCCTCTGTGCTTTGCTAAAGAGAACTGAAGTTTATGTCTTAAAATTACACACTTCCATGCAAAAAAAAAATAGTCCAGGCGTTGCCCAACACGTTCCAAAACCCCTGTCCTCACTGAGCACCACTGACAAATTTTGTCTTAAAAAGAATGAATAAATAGGGAAGGAATCACAGTTTCTTAAGCATAGATTTATCATAAGGTTTTCTTTAAAAGGCAGGGAAAAAAGTAAAAATAGGAAATGTTTTTTATTTCTTTGTCCTCAAATTTACTTTTACAGGTTTCCATTTTACCAATTGTGTTGCAGGAGCCCCAGATCTGAGAGGGCACTCACGTAGTGTTTGCCTATTCCAAAGAGCTCACTGGGGCCAAGAGGTAGAGACTTCGGTCTATCAGACTTACAGGAGTTGCTGGTGGCAGCTGGCCAGCTGGAAATCCTTGCCACCATGGGGTACATACAACAGTTATACAGTGAACAGATAAAAGCAGAAGTGTAGATTATTTACAAGCTTATGTGCCCCTCACCCAACTCACATGACCCAAAGCGGAGATCAGGCTGTGTAGATAAGTCAATCCCATCGCTACCCTCCTGGCGCCACAGCACTTTCACACCAGCGTGCCAATTTACTTACGGTCCCTTCTTCCTCCAGTCTTCCGTTTGTCTTCAAGACGTCATTTATCTTATAGGAGACGTGCCTTTCCTTAGGTACTATCTTGGCCAGGGGTAGTTTCCCAGGGGGGAGGAGGAACTCTGGTAAGCACAGGGAAGGGGAATAATAGGTCTATGTCCAGCATTTACCCCACACCAATTATTTATAGAGTACCAATGACACTCAAAGCATTTTTTGCTAAGTGCTGCTGGCAATAAATCAGTGAGGATGCGCAGTCCTTTTGGTTGGGAGGGAAGGAGAAGGAATGCACACAAATTGCTATAACCACCAGGCCGACTGCAGTATGTGTCACTGAAGCCTGTCTACTCTATACACACACGGCATCCTGCACCCCTTCCCACCTTGCCCTTCTGATCAACCCTATCCTGCTCTGATTTTTCTTTTTCCCTTTCTATTCCATTTGCCCCCTTCTAAAATACTAAAGAATTGACTCATTTATTACATGTACTGTTTATGTATGCTATCTCCCCAGCCAGAATGTAAGCTCCATGAGGAAGGGACATATCTTTGTTGTTTAGGTCATGGACACATCCCAAGTCTGGTACAT